ACGGCGAAGGCAAGCGAAGAACTGCGTCAACTACGCGCAGTTGGTCAAGTGCTGAGACTTTTAGCGCCCCGTTTTTTTTTTTTTCAAATATACCCTAACTTAAGCGCAGTCCCGATTGGATATAGTGCATTAAGTATATTTAGTATATTTAGTGCATTAAGTATATTTAGTATGTTAGTATATAATAGTGGTAGTTTATTTAGTATAAATTATATTTAGTATATATATTATACTTAATATTTAGTATTTAGTATATATATCATACTTAGTATTTTAAGTATATTTAGTATAAATTATATTTAGTATATATATTATACTTAATATTTAGTATTTAGTATACATATCATACTTAGTATTTAGTATTTTAAGTATATTTAGTAAAAATAATATTTAGTATATCACATTTAGTATTTAGTATATTAGTATTTTAAATATATTTAGTATTTAGTTTAGTATTTAGTATATAAATCATACTTAGTATTTAGTATTATAAGTATATTTAGTATAAATTATATTTAGTATATCACATTTAGTATTTTAAGTATATTTAGTATTTATTATATTTAGTATATCTCATTTAGTATTTAGTATATAAGTATATTTAGTATTTATTACATATAGTATATGTATCATACTTAGTATTTAGTATTTTAAGTATATTTAATGTACATTATATTTGGTATCATACTTAGTATTTAGTATATTAGTATTTTTAGTTTATTTATTATAAATTATATTTAGTATATAGATCATACTTAGTATTTACTATATTAACCATATTTAGTTTATTTAGTATAAATTATATTTAGTATATTTAGCATAAATTAAAAATATTATTAACTGATATATCTAGTATATTTAGTATATTTAGTATGTTAAGTATATATAATATATTATTATATTATTGTCTGGTATATCTAGTATTTTTAATATATTTAAAATATTTTTAAGACTTAATATACTTCGACTTTTAGTATATCTAGTATGTTTAGTATATTGAATATATCTGGTATATCTAGTATACTAAATATATGTAATATATTAAGTACATTATTATTTTAATAGTATCTGGCATATCTGGTATTTTTAAAATATCCAATATATATAAATGATTTAGTACACTTTGAATATTTGGTATATTTAATATATGAGTATATTAAGTGCATTATTATTATACTAGTATCTGGTATATTTGGTGTTTTCAGTGTATCCAATATATATTAGATTCAGTACACTTGGAGTAGTCAGTATATCTTGTATTTCTAGTACATCTTGTCTAGTATATTTATTATATTATTACTATATTAGTGTCTAGTATTTTTGGTATATCTACCAACCAATGCTTAGAAGCTGGCAAACCTGTCTGGACATCAAGAATAGATTACATCAATTTCTTATTATTAAATTTGAATCGTTCAAAATAGATTCTCAATAATAATTTCAGTGAGTTCTTTGTCTCTCTTATCTTAAGTTTCTCTAGTTGGTTAGGGCATTTAATAGTCGTTGTGGTCGGGGCGCTGCCGACACCCGCTTGTTTCCTTTATGCTCATTGAGCAACGTGTGAATTGTAGGAAGTGTCTCTGCCCCGATGCAATTTTGATTTGAGGCCCGCAGGCACGACGGCTACAGGTGAGCGACTTGGCGGAAACAGGTTGTTGGCCAGGGGTTTAGGCCAGGCCAAAGCCTGGCTACTAATTGGCGAACGGCGCAAAGGAAAGAGTTGCTCACAATTGTCGTTGTTGTTGTTGTTATTGCTGCTGTTGCTGCCCAGCAAATGCAATCAAAATATTTACAGGAGGCGCAGTCAGTCGAGTGTAAGGATATGCGAAAGGTGTGAAAGGACAATAAGCCCGCAAGCAGACGAAGTCAACGAAATGCTGACAGAGGACAGCTGAGACGATGCAAATGCAGTGCCCAAAATCCAGGTACTTCAAACGATGTCCTTTGCCAGGCAGTTCGAGTGTCTTTTTGTTTTGTTGTCCTGCGTGAGATTTATGCAGCGAAAATGTAAATGCGAAAAGTCGAAATTAAGTTGTAATCCTTGTAAATTTCTTCTCCTTTGGCCAGGACAGAAGGGGTTGACAGCTGTCAAAGAGACACAGACAGAGAGAGAGAGAGGGAGGGGAGTGTGACTCACACCTTTCTGATTTGTCCTTGCAAGGACTCCGCTGGCGTCCCAGACAAAGCAACACATTTGTTTTGTAAATATTGCGTTCGTAATTAATGCAGCAGAAATTTCCATATCGATAGACAATTCTCTGACTGCTGATATCATTTTTCATTTTGCGTTGATAAATATACCGTTTTTTCGTCCTCTTCCATTTAACTGTTATTCAAATTCTGATGTCAGGGCGCAGCTAGATTAATGAGCGAAATTTGCATAGGGCCAACTTTATGCGTTTTGTTGGCCATCTGTGCCTTAATTGAGGGGCACGCGATCGGGCCAGCTCGAGCAGCTGGCATATGCTGCTGCTGCTGCTGCTCCTGGACATCCTTTGTGCCACCCTCTACCCCCACTATATCAAGGCAATTACCACATTCCGTATGCTAATTTGTTAGCAGCCCACGCGACACACAGAACCACACGCGATCAAGTTTGCAAGGATCTCCAGCCAGGATCTCTATGAGGATCGACACACACACACACTCTCTCTCTCCCTCTCTCTCTCCCTTACGCCTTGTCTGTCTCTGTCGTTCACTAAATTTAGACTCGCATCTGTTTAACTGTAAATTAAAATGCATTTGACGCAACTGTTCCGCCAGCTGCCGTTCTAATGCCACGCACTTAGCACTTCGACAAAAGGACACCCCCACACACACTCTCACACCGAAGGACCTTCAATGCCGCATCTATGTTTTTCGAGAGAAACAACACATTTTCATGCTCGACTACCGTTCGGCCGCAGCCCAAAAATAGATTAGCTGCAGCGAAAGGATATTGAACCCCAGCTCAGCTAGGCTGAGGGTCAGTTGCTGTGCAGCAAGGCGCGTGCCAAGCGGGCCATGCAGCAGGACCTTCACATAGAACAAATGCATTCGCAAGGCAGCGCGGCACGCTCTCGAGCAGATTGCATCAGAGCAAAACTATTAATAAACTAGTTGAAGTAGAATCTTTTCGAGTTGAAACTAATTGAATATTTTCAGCAAGTCGAAGCATTAAAATTTTCAATTATTTTTAATATGGAACAAGAAATATTTTTGTAGGAATATAGCGAGAATGAAGACCTGTTTGGGTTCTGCTTGCTTTCAGTTTAGATTTCTTATTTCAGATCATCTTCAGGGATCACTAACAGCATCCAGTTGTGGGCAGCACTACTCAGAGTCTACCCCATTATGTTAGTATTTTTCCAATTCTCTCTTTGCTTTAGTTTCTTCTTCTAATCTTTTCCTTCTTGTTCCTATTGTAAATTGGATTTGTGAAAATGTATGTAACAGGCAGCAGAAGGCCACCATAAGATATATATATATATATTCCTGTCTATGCGGGGATCTCGTAAGCCACACAAGCTGAAGTTTGAAATGCTGTCTCGTGTCTACCATACGCAGTAGAAGCTTATTTTAATAATCGATAACTCAACCCATTTTCTAATAATCGATAAAAATCGAAAACTTGAATGCCGTAAGGGCTGTAGACTTCCAATTTACTATGTAGATTGCTATTGAAATGTTCTATATTTTGGATTTTGGATTTTGGAATTTGGATTCCCCTCTACACCTCAAATTCAAATTGAAATTCACAAAAAATCTTTTTTAAATACTAGATGGCATAATTGTGCACAGAAAATATCATCAGAAAATCCCATCTAGAAGAAAAGTTATTTAACAATTAAATTGCCACAGTAAAGCTCAAGCACAGTCGCTGCGTCAACTGCGCAGTAGGCAGAGCGCATGCGCGTGTGTGAGTTGCTTGCAATGCATGTGTGAAGGAATTGTTGAATGATTGGAACATCGAGCAGTTTTCTGAAATTTAAGAAAACTTCCATTTTTTAAAACCACTCATTTAAAATTCAATTTTTTTATTATAAAAACTTTTAGTTAAGCTTTAAAATCAATGCAAAGCTGTACTTTAATACTTATTTGTAAGCAAGTATTAAGTCTCTCCTAATAAAAAAATCCAAACCAAAGTATTTATTCAACTAATTTTGAAAGACCCGCGAAACCCATTGCTGCCATATCATTTAACGCAACAGCAAAAAAATAAAGGCATCTGGCATCACTGCTTTGTTTGTATATGTGTGCAAGCATGTCGCCGCACCGCAACCATTTCGCCGCAAGCAGCAATCGCCCCTATATCGTTGAGCACTTATCGAAATAGCGAGCATAACGAAATATTAACATAACGCTGTTATGTGGCAACTTATGCTGTTAAGCGTATGGACTAGGCCATCTGGCAAGGCTACCGCAAACTCTATTGTGAACCACAGAGCACAAGCAACACTAAAAGATTGCGAATTAAATTTTTGGCAACAGCAATAGTTAAGGGCTGCTCATATAGAAAATTGAAAAATTGTTTTACGTTGTAAGTGTAAAGTGTGTGCAATTAATTGATCGCTGCGTGCATTGCATATTAAAGCATTGTATGTCGATCGAAATAACAGCAGCAGCCGCAGCAACAGCAGTAGAAGTCGCACCAATCGTCGCCGTCGCCGTCACTGTCGCCGGACCCACACTCGTGCACATTTCGCAGTCGTCGTCGTTGACACGCTATTTTAGGAATTAAGCATATAAACAATATCGAGGCATGTCCCGCTCTGAGTCAGCCTCCTGCACCAGCACCAGGGCCAGCAGCTCCGAGCCACCCCTCTGTAAGCGCCTCAAATTGGATGAAGCCGGCGAAGATGGGTTGCCAGAAGCATCATCAAGCAGCGGTCAGCAGCAGCGGCGCAAGCTCGCTGCCAGCAGTAGCAGCGGCAGCAACAACAACTACGAAAATCACGACAAAGCAAACGACGTTGACATGTTGACAGAGACAGCTATAGCTACAGCTGCCAACGAAACAGACGTGTGCGTATCGTCGTCTACTTCTGACACGGGCGCACCGAATACGTCAAAGCATTCAGCTGCCGGTGGCGGGGACGTTAGTACATCGTCAGCATTGAATAAGGAAAGTAGTAACAATTGTGCGTTGTCCTCGTCCGCGGCGGAAACAAATTTATTGGATACGGCAACAATTGCGCGAACTGTCAGCTCAACAAACTCTGTTAGTTCCACCAATAGCAATACACATAGCACCCATACCACTACCACCAACACCAACAGCAGCAACAACAACAATAACAGTAATAACAGTGCAGTTATGGCTGCCAACAACAGCAACAGCGGAGGAGACATCGATGAGTCGCTTTATTCGCGCCAACTTTATGTACTTGGACACGATGCAATGCGTCGCATGGCCAATTCGGACATTTTATTGTCCGGGTTGGGCGGCCTAGGTCTGGAGATAGCAAAAAATGTCATTTTGGGTGGCGTTAAATCGATTACCCTCCATGACACAGCAACTTGTACGGTAAGTGGCTAAAAATCAATAAATTTACATTGTGTTGTATCTTGATTGCCGCGCGCGCGAAACCTAGAAAAAAAATATTAGAATAGAATGTACGGTACACGCAATGAAAAAAAAAATTAATCACTCATGATTCATGATTCTGCAAAAAAAAAACAACTAAATGAATTGGCAAACTCGCTAAACTTTTCATAGACCTAATTTTGCAGGTTATGTTTGCGTTTTGCCTAGTTTTAAACGCACCAATTGGACGAAAAATAAGAAGAAAAAAGAAATTGCTTAAATTTTTTTCATTCGTCTTTTCTGTAGCTTTTTGCTATGCCCGCTTAGTTCTCGTCAAAAAGTGTGCGAGCGAGATGACTAGCCTTTACATGCCGTCTCTAATTGTTTTTGCACTATGCTTTGCGTGCATATTCGCTTTTGTTTTACTCAAAGCCAGTAAAGAAAAAGAAAAGGAAAATAAATATGCGAACTGGTTTAAGCGGCATTAACTATATGCTGTAAAGTTGCTAATTTAATTTTCTTTATATTGAATTTTAACAAAGCGCTGACTAATTCTTTAATTTTCTGATGCATTTATATTAAGTTGACAGGCGCACTAATAGCTATTTATGTGCCTGCACAGTGTTGCCAGACAGTATGCAGATTAACAACTCATGCATATATCGCAATATGAGCTTTCGTATAAACAGGTCACGACAACAACGTCGTCGCCCTTTTGTTTCTCCACCCCTTATCATTCCTGCATCCCCTGTCAAAAGAGTCAGCGACTTTGAACTGAATTTCACAATCTTGCGCGTTCGCTGAACTCCACTTCACCCATCTCTTTTGGCTAATCCCCTCTTCTTTCGTTCTGCAGCTTAACGACTTGGCCTCGCAATTCTATCTAACCGAGTCGGACATTGGCAAGAATCGTGCCGTGGCGTCCTGTGCCCAATTGGCCGAACTAAATAGCTATGTGCGCACCCATTCATACACTGGCGCCCTCACGGATGAGTTTCTCAGCCAGTTCCGTGTCATCGTTCTGACCAACTCGGATGCTGTCGAACAGCAGCGGATTGGCTACTTTGCCCATGCCAATAATATTGCTCTCATCATCGCAGAGACACGTGGATTGTTTGCCAAGGTCTTCTGTGACTTTGGCGATAAGTTCACCATTTATGATCAGGATGGTGCCCAGCCAGTTTCCACAATGATAGCGAGCATTACACACGATGCACAGGGCGTAGTCACCTGTTTGGATGAGACTCGCCATGGCTTCAATGATGGCGACTATGTCACTTTCTCGGAGGTGCAGGGCATGCAGGAGCTAAACGGCTGCCAGCCCATCAAGATCAATGTACTGGGACCGTATACCTTCAGCATCGGGGACACCAGTCAATTTGAGGCATATAAGTCAGGAGGTGTGGCCACACAAGTGAAGATGCCCAAGACAATTAGCTTCAAGTCTTTGGCCGAGGCCGATAAGGAACCGGAGTTCTTGATCTCTGATTTTGCTAAGTTGGACGCACCCGCCACTTTACATGTGGCGTTTAAAGCTCTTGGCTGCTATATAAATGCAAATCGCACCTTGCCGCGTCCTTGGAACAATGAAGATGCCCAACAATTTTTGCAGATCTGCCAGGAAATAAAGAGTGATGTGGATGAGCAGCTAGTGCTGCAGTTTGCTAAGATCTGTGCGGGTAACACGTGCCCCTTGGATGCAGCAATTGGTGGCATTGTCGCCCAGGAGGTGCTTAAGGCATGCAGTGGCAAATTTACACCTATCTTTCAATGGTTCTACTATGATGCGCTCGAGTGCCTGCCGGCCGAGCCAGTTACCGAGGCAGATGCCCAGCCGTTAGGCACACGCTATGATGCACAGATTGCCATATTTGGAAGGAAGTTCCAGGATCAGCTCGCCGATGCGAAATGGTTTATTGTCGGCGCTGGCGCCATTGGCTGTGAGCTGCTCAAGAACTTTGGCATGCTTGGCCTGGGCGTTGGCAATGGTCAGATCTTTGTCACCGACATGGATCTCATTGAGAAATCGAATCTGAATCGCCAGTTTCTGTTCCGTCCGCACGATGTGCAGAAGGCCAAGGCATTAACAGCTGCCGATGCCATCAAACGTATGAATCCCGATGTCAAAGTTACTGCTTATGAGTTACGTGTGGGCGCTGAAACGGAGAAGGTCTTCTCCGAGGACTTCTTTGGCAAGCTCCATGGTGTGGCCAATGCGCTGGATAATGTCGATGCACGCATTTATATGGATCGCAAGTGCATCTTTAATCGCATACCGCTGGTCGAGACAGGCACCTTGGGCACCATGGGCAACGTGCAAGTGATTGTGCCATTCGCCACCGAATCGTATAGCTCCTCACAGGATCCCCCAGAGAAGAGCATACCAATTTGTACGCTGAAGAACTTTCCCAATGCTATTGAGCATACGCTGCAATGGGCACGCGACTCATTCGAAGGTGTCTTCAAGCAGAACGCCGAGAATGCTGCACAATATATCTCCGATCCTCAGTTCACTGAGCGCATTCTCAAATTGCCTGGCATACAGCCACTGGAGATTCTGGAGTCTATTAAGGTGAGTTGATTGATACTGTTTAGAGTACGATTTATGTGACTATAAGAATCAGGAATATACCTGATTAATATATTTAAGCTTTCTGTATCGCATTTGTACTAATCCTCCTCCTTTTTTATAGAAAGCATTGCTTGATGACAAACCGAAGAGCTTTGCCGACTGCGTGGAATGGGCTCGTTTCCATTGGGAAGATCAATATGCCAATCAAATCAAACAATTGCTCTTCAATTTCCCACCCGAGCAAGTGACATCGAGTGGCCAACCTTTCTGGTCTGGCCCTAAACGCTGTCCCGAACCACTTGTTTTCGATGTGAACGAACCGATGCACCTGGATTATATCTACGCGGGGGCTAATTTGCGCGCCGAAGTCTATGGAATACCCCAAGTGCGTGATCGCCAGAAGATTGCTGAGCTGGTGCAGCAGGTTAAGGTATGGAATTGAATAGCAGAGTATCTATAGAACCTACTCTCATATATAATGTCTTGCAGGTGCCCGAATTTAAGCCACGCTCTGGTGTGAAGATCGAGACAAATGAGGCCGCTGCCGCTGCAGCTGCCAACAATTTCGATGATGGCGAAGTGGATCAGGACCGTGTGGATAAGATCTTAACGGAGCTGTTGAAGAATGCAGACAAGAGCTCAAAGATAACGCCGCTGGAGTTCGAGAAAGACGACGATAACAATCTGCACATGGACTTCATTGTGGCCTGCTCCAATTTGCGCGCAACAAACTATAAAATCCCACCGGCCGATCGTCATAAGTCGAAGCTAATTGCCGGCAAGATTATACCGGCCATAGCCACCACTACCTCTGTGCTATCCGGACTGGCAGTGCTGGAGGTGATCAAGCTAATAGCCGGTCATCGTGATTTGCCCAAGTTTAAGAATGCATTTGCCAATTTGGCTTTGCCATTCCTAGCCTTCTCCGAGCCGCTGCCGGCGGCCAAGAACAAGTACTACGAAAAGGAATGGACATTGTGGGATCGCTTCGAGGTCACTGGGGAGTTGTCGCTGCAAGAGTTCCTCAACTATTTTGATGAGAAGGAGAAATTGAAGATAACCATGCTGTCACAGGGCGTTTCAATGCTCTATTCATTCTTTATGCCCAAGGCTAAGTGCGCCGAGCGCCTGCCCCTGCCTATGTCCGAGGTGGTGCGTCGTGTATCGAAACGACGCATCGAACCATATGAACGTTCCCTGGTATTCGAGATATGCTGCAACGATATCGAGGGCGAGGACGTGGAGGTGCCCTATGTACGTTACACGCTGCCCTAAGGCAAGCTAATACCCCTCACCTACACTAATCTTAATTGTAACAGTTAAATTATTATTTAAAAAAAATCAAGAGAGAAAAATTTTTTGGAGTTGTGCGCCATACAGATTTTTACGGTATGTAGTAGGTTTGCATTTTAAAAAAAGATAAACCGGAACAAACACACACAAACGAGAAAAAGGATAACACACATCTCCCCCGCACACAACACCCAGACACACACACGAACACAACTAATCGATATAGAAATTATATATTATATATGTATGTGTAATCCTATAAGGAAATGGCAAATATTGAATTCGCGTTACACGAAAAAATACAAAGACTCGACTTACAAACAAAAACTTATGAAAAAAGAAAGAAAAACGAAACAATAAAAATTTTAAATTGTCTGCTCATAGGTTAAAAATCTCTTAAACATGCAGCACTTTTCGTTTTCTTTTTTTTTTAATATTTGATAAAAACGTAACATTAAAAATCAAATTGTATTAAAGGCGAAGCAACTGAATAAAGCTGTATATTTCATATGGTAAACGAGTCCTGGCTGATATCCTTTTCAGTAAACTCATTTCGTTTGAGTAGCTTTTGCATAAAACCACACGCTTCCCCAGAGCTTTTCCAATTATCTCTGCAGCGCCCAATCTTAGCGTTATCTCCGAAGCAGCTTTCCCCTGCGTGTTCCCTTCACTTCCATTATGTTTGTTGCACTCTCTCGCAGTCAGTTAGTAAAAAGTTACGTGACACAATTAAATATTTTATGCCCCAAGACGTTTATGCCGTGTCGGTGGCAGCGACTGCCACAAAAGTGCAATTGGCAAGTGCCACCCCCTCGCGCCCATCCGCCCCTCGCCCACTAAAGTTGTGTGCTATAATTAAATATTACACGCAATGCAACTGAAGTATTGCAAAGTTATGCAGCTTCTCAGCTTGGCTCTGCGTAGCTGAGCTGAACTGAGCTGTTCTCTCAAGTGCGGCCGGGCAAAGTTTTCCCTCAAATTATGCAGTTAATGAAACAAACTCCTGAGTGAAATACATCGCGTGGGCATCACGTCGACTGAAAACTGGTAACTGCAAACTGGATACCCAGCTGTATATTTCACATGTACGTTAATTAAATAATGCAACAAAATTTCAAATTTTTTCTACTTTAGCTAATGGTTGGTTTTTTACTCTTTTGCTGCAGGTAACTTGGATGAAAGAAAATGTTTAGGACGTAAAGTGCTGCAGGAGCAGAAGCCAGGCGGATATGTCTCATGGGCAACAAATTGATGAATAAGCTACCTGGAACCGCTACTAGTTATCAATGCTATCTCAATACGTTTTATTCAATAATGTTAACTAAATTGTAATTCGCTTAAGAACTAGTGGACTTACAACAGATATATTTCCTAGCAGCTTATACTAAGATGCAGGCAAACTAAGCTGAACTGAACTGAAGTTTTCGAAAAACCAACTTCAAGTCTATCCAAATCAGGCCAATTTAGGATCTATGTTATACAAATAATGAGGCAGGAATTTAAGAGTTGAATTGAAGATTAATGTAATGTATGTCGGATCCAAGAGAGAGAGACTGGCTGTCTCTGCAGCCTGAGTGACGAACTGACCAGCTGACATCATGAGTAAAGCATTTCCGCTTAACTCAACCACAGATAAAAGTAGAAAGTTTTCATAATTTTTATTTTCATTACTATGTTTAACAGTGCTATAACATTATTGTTTTTGCTAATATTATTGTCATTGTTATTATAATTATCAATATTTGTTTTCTCTTCATTAATTTCAGCATTGTTTTAATTGGTTTTCATTCAAATTAATTAATACCGTAAAGTGGGAATTCGAACTGTGATTTGAAATCATATATTTTATTTAAAAATCAAATAATATAATAAATAATAAATGCATCAAAACAAAGTATATGAAATACATTGCTACGATAACAAATGTATATATGTTAAGATTCTTCTTACTTTAAAAATAATAACATCAAGTTAATAAAATTATGTAAAACTTGGATAAATATTAGAGCTTTTAAGTGCTATGCCTTCGACATCAGCTGCTATTGTATACGTCTTGTAATACGTCTTCATTTTGTTCCATGTATCGCAACGGATACATACTTAGATATATGTATATATAAATTATATGGTAAGAGCCAATAGCTCTTTGTGCTGTGGGCCAGCTCATGCGAATGATTCCATGTCAGTTTTTTATTCTGCGTAATATTACTAACAGCATTAACCCAGAGATAATCAAAGAAATATAAGTTGATGTCGGTTGTGCGTCAGCTCTGCTGTCCAAATATTGGGATGCGTCATGGGAAATTGACAATACGTCGAGGGGAAGCACTCACCCAACCATGGCATACGTTAATTTCAAGTTAGTCGATCAACTTAGCCAACGTATTCACCAAATGACAAACAACTGAAACTAAAGCGAAACATGGAACGATATGGAACAATGTGAAATATCTAGAGTTGATTTTATAGTCATGCAACGTGTTGCTTAAACAATTTTAATAAGCCTTAAATATGCCTGATTATCTGATAAATTGCGCCGTAAATCTCTTTTTTATAATATATTTTAAAGAGCATTTCAAATTCCTTATTATCTCCGGCTACACACAAGTCTTTTGTGTGTACCGTTTCTTTGTTGTGTTACCCTAACTGAGAGAACACATTGGCACATTGAAAGAACATTTATGACTGTTAGCTGTATGTACATATATATATACGCCTGATCTGCATTATATAGTATCGAATACTCGCTGGTCAAACTTATGTAAGTAACCAACTTTCAGGTATTATAGGCTACTATATCATAAAAAGATAATTATTATATAATCAGTCAAGTGCTTGTTCAGAAAAGCTTACTTATTCAAAATCTTTTTACATCATAATATCTGTTTAGGTAGGGCATTCAATGCTCTGTCTTTATTTATAATATTTGTCTCTTTTGTTTTTATCTTTTATGTCAATTGTTGTACGTAGTGTGTCCGGTGACGTCGTAAACCGGTTGGCTAAAATCCAAAAACGTGAACAATTTAAATTATAGAAGTACAAATTTGAGTTTTTTCTTGATATTTGAATGTGAAATCTCTCATGCAGTCTGATATTTTCACTTTGTTTTTTTTGTTTAATTAATGAAATTCAATAAATTTTCACTGCCTGGTGACACTTTTGTTGATAATGAGGCTAAAACGCCAACATCGAATCTGATTAATGGAACGTTCTCCATTTAAATCGTCAAGGTGGACGCGCCGGCCACATGATGGACCCGGACTTGGGTGCATTGCACGGCTGCGTGGTCCAAGGGGAACACGCAGCATATCGCAATTGTTATGACAGCAAAATTTGCTTATTTATAATTCCATATTATTATTAATTGCACAGATAGATGACCGTTTGGAGGCCATGTGAAGGCCGCTGATTACAATTCGGATGGCATTTCCTGTTGCCACAAAAACAAACTTTTACTTGCAGCTCGTTTGGCTCATAGACTTGATTACTCAGTGTTGCCAAATTCATGTGTTTCGCATGTGTTAGTGTGCCCAATAAGTGGCTTTTATCACAGGTGTCTATCTATCTATAGACGTTTCCATATCTATATACTCATGAAAATGTTGCATTGGTTTGTGTTCGCTTCAAAAGCTCAAAAACTATTAAGAACATATGCAAAAAATATTATAGCTTATTTTATGCATATTTAAATATTTTATTTATTTTTATATATTATAGTTGAGACTATTTTTCATCCACTTTGCAATACTTTCTCTTTTTCTTATTAATAATTTATGAAGTAATGATTTATATATGATTTATATTTATATTTAAATATGTATATAGATTTATTTTCGATTTCTCATCCATAAAACCACAATTTTCCGCAGCATAAGGTGGTTTTTATATGTAAATATATTTGAAGAAATTATTGCTAATTTATAAATATTCTAAAATTAAAATCTTTGGAGGCGATTCAGAGATCGTCATAATATAAAAAATTAACCTAAGTCCATAATAAATGTCTTAAAAAAGCACATTTATTTTCTATTATATATTATTATAATTTTAATGTTAAATATTTTTTATATATTTTTTTTTATATTTTTATTTTGATTTATTTTTTTTAAATAATAAATATGAAAATAAATTATTTTCATATATTATATAAAATAATCTAATCTAATATACATATATATATATATATATATATATATATATATATATATATATATATTCTAAATATTTTATCACATTTACATTGTGAATTGGTATACTCTTTTAATTGAGGCTAAGATAACTTAAAGTGTATTTGATCGCTTAGGGACCAAAAATCTACACCAACTTCACCTGACTATGGGGTATCTAAAAGTCCAAGACAATAGAGACGCCTAAGGTTAATGGCAATAGCTGTAACGCATTTCATTTCAAATAGTTTCTTATTTCCTGTCACGCTTTGGTCACTGTGTCGTCTGTGGAAAGGGAACGTGATCGATATCGCACACCTTTAGCAATATGAGTAGAGATATCTATATGTGTATATAAAGCAGGACATGCAAATCGCATGTCCATTTATGAAAGCGGGCGCATGTAAAATTATTTAAATTGAGTCATCATGAAAAATGAATAAAAATATAAATAAAATTGCACAATAGGAAGCGGTGACAGGAACAGCAGCTCATTAGACATCCATATCGGCCAGACAACGTCGGCGCCCGCGACTTTACTTATATGTAGTGTAGATGTCGCTCAGCTAGGCACATGCTCCGGACCATAATTGATTTATGTCACGAACTAGCTTCAAGATATAACGTATTTATCAACTGCAATTACTGTGAGAACGCAATATATAAAAAATACATGTATAAATATGCTTATATAAAAGAAAAACAATGAGCAGATAATGCCTGACTCACTGGGCATTGACATCGTCGATTACAAACCTTAGTCCTCATCCAAATGCACTCTCTCTTCTTATGCACACTATCATTTCAAAATATATAAAAAGTATACATCATGTATGTACAGCGGATGTACCGATAAGTCAAGGCATCCGATCTTGACCGTGACAACAGGGCGTATACGCAATCAATATAAATTGATCGGAAGTTACTCCACAGATATTGAGTAATACTTTGTTATCATATTGATAAGGTGTTGAAAACATGTTTTTTGGAATTTCTTACTGTCATATTTTGTTTTTATTTTTATGGGTCGTTACGTGCACTGACCAAGCACAGTGTGGCAATGGTGGAGTAGTGAAATTTCAATTGACGATTGATCCCACAAGACCTTAAGACTGACTCGTCTCATTGGAGCAATGATACATATTTATAAATTCTGTGTGGAGACCGAGCTCTAGGTCTACGATTATAGGCTTGCGCTGGTAGCATCGATCATTGAACATGATTAAATGACAATAAATTAAATTTAAATGAATGTGGATCACAGCTATCGACAGTGTGTGAGTAACACAGATCAACTATATACATATGCAAGTTCTTTAAAAAATATCTTTATTGTAAAAGTGAATGTAATCTTAGTTCTATAAGTGAAAAGCCATTCGATATTCAGTTATATGTTCTAATAATCTAATTTTAATAAACACATTTTTTATTTAAAATATTCCTTAATAATATCAATTACTTACATAAATAATGTTGATCTTTGCCTCCATTAAGTATAAGCCAAGCAATGCGTGAACGACCCTCCTACGTTAAAGCCAACTTCGCAACACACGGCAACACTGTTTGTCTTCAGATGAAGCAATGGCATTGTAAATGGCGAAGAATCCTAAAAAAAAACACAAATCAGCACCATAGTAGCACAGACGGGCAAACACACTCGGTCGTATACAGCTGTGCACTTATGAGTTAATATGGACTCTCTGGTGCAGTGATCGTTGTTAGCGATCACGCTTCGCGCTCTTTTGTTATTCGCTCTCTCTCTCTCTGCTGAACTGAAGCAAGAGTCAGTCGAAAACACGGTTTGTTTCGCGTTCGTTTCTCTGTCACTCTCAGTATCGGGCCGGCAGCGAGAGACAGCGCAAGGCAGATAAGGCGGTCTAACGAGATTTTCTGTGTTGTTTTATACGAAAAAAATAAGGATTATTTAAATATATGAGCTTGTATTTATGTATATATATTGTAAAAATGAAATAAAGAAGACGCCTTCTACAAGCAAGGCAAGTTGCGTGTGTTGTTTTTTGTTGTTGTAAGAAGGTGCGTACACAAAAGCAAACAACAACAAAGCAGAGCGTTGAACGTATCGTTGTTTGTGTGTGCGTGTGTGTGCGTGCGTGGGATTACTGCAACAAATGCTGCAGCAGCAGAATCAACTCCTTTGTATACGTATCGCGTGCTAATTAATTGTGTCGTTGCATCTACAAAAGCAAACAAAAGCAATAGCCAAACATCAGCTAATGTGCGTTTAATCGTGTGTCGGTGTTGGAGTCGGTGTCGTGTGTATTTCGAAATTTCGAAATTTAAATTAAATTTATTACGAAAACGTCTGTTGTGACATCATTAGTGAAAAAAGAGAGCAAAGCCAAAGCCGGAGACCGAAGTAGTTGCCGCAACAAAAACACAAACAAAAAAAAACGAAAAAAAGGAACGGTAAAAGAACTACACACCCGCGGCCTCGCTGCTTCAGCTGCTGCTGCCGGCTGTTCGGTACTGCGCATGTGTATATTAAGAGCAACCACAGCAACATAGGAACAACGACAACAACTACACGAAGTAGCATTTAAAGTAAAAGTGAAAAGTTCAAGCAGTAACGGTACAAATCTAATTTGTTATTGCTAGCACAAAAAGTTCTATGCAGCTCGCAGGGACTGCAGCAACGGCAGCGAAAAGTGGAGTAGCAATATAAAAAAAGGGCAAGTGTTTTGAGAGTGTTGCCGACTTCAAGATATAACATACAAATACTATTCCAAGTGTTGCCGACTTCAAGTTACAAATACTTACATATTAGCATATGTAAGGAAAGTTGTTGCTTACAACCTGCCAGCGTTTCTCTGTTTGCATTTAGAGGAGCACAAAAATGAGTTACACATGTGGATGCCTGTCGTTGCTCATTGTTGTTGCTGTCAATTTGTTGTTGCAAGCTGCAGAAGCCAATATTCATCAGCTGCAGATGCATTACAGCCACAACCATCAACAGAACAACAACAACAACAATAATAATAATAATCATAAGTATGAAGAGCAAGGGGAGCTGCAGCAGCTGCGGAGCAACGAAAGAAGCAGCGTCTCTGAGGATATGATGGTAAGTAGTAGTATACTTGAAATAGTACTTTCCCAACCTAATTCCAGCCAAGTCTAAGGAAAAGGTATGATTGATATAATTCAATAGAATTTGTTTGTCTTCTTGAGCGCTCACAAAATTGTGTTAATGAGTTTTCCAGTGATCTCTATGTATGTAAATCATCCATCTGTAAGGCCAGCATAAAGTTATAGAGGAATGTCATTCATGATTACTCTTATCGGCTTTAAATAATTAAGCGCTCATTGACTTTTAGTAAGCAGCTTAATAAGCTACAGTGCGGATATTTCCTTTCTTTTCCTTGCATTTCAGGGTTTTGCTTTCTGCTTATGTCGTGTTATTAATGCATGGCAATATTTGTTCAACCCTCAATGAGTCACCTGCTGACTGCCAATCTAATTCCTCGAATTCATTAGGAAGCCAACGAATACAGCCGCAACACACAATGCAATTACAAACAAACACAAAGACAACAGACAACAAACAGTTGCAACAACAACAACAACAGCAGCAGCAACAACAATTGAGTGTCTGTGAAAGACATTTTCTTCGCTGTAGTTTTGCCAATTAGAATTTGGAAAAGTTGGCTTGCAAGCAAATTGCAACAGTTTTCGCGACAGTGTCAACAACTTTATAAACAACTCAGTAGCAGCAGAAACAACAACTCAACGCATTTTATATGTATGTGGGTGTGTGTAGATAACAGAACTTTATTTTACTTCACTTTCTATGTACATTTTCCGGGCAACTTCCGTTTGGGCATGCGGCCGCAATCGCCTTTGCCCCCAGTTTTTCATTCTCTCAACTCCAACACCAGCAGCAGCTGCCGCTCCTTCGCCTCCCTCCCTTTTTCTTCTGCTCCGGCACCAACAACTACAACTACTCCCCTATCATTTTGTCTTGGTCTTCGACTTCGACTTCCATTCGCGTCTCGTCACCACGCGATATGCGTGGTGTGTATGTGAATAGACTGACTGCATGTGTGTGTGTTTGTGGTGTGTGCGTGTGTGTGCTATGCGTTCAACAACCGCCCGATGCCTTGCTGGCGGCGCAGCAACAGCCCAGGCGACGTTGTCGCCGTAACTGCCACTGCCACGGCGTCCGTGCGTCTGTCCGTCCGTCATATGGCACATACATATCGTTGCTATATAAATGCATGCACACACATGCATATAAGCACCGAGGGCGGTTCAATTAATAATCATAACTCTGCACAACTGTGTTACGCAAATTCATTGACATCAATTAATCAAATCTTGAAGTAAATTTTTTTTTAATAATTTGAGATTTAGACTGTACAATTTTGATTGTTGTTAATTTTTTATGCATGATTTCCAAAATTTCTTAAATTTATTTACACAATTGAGATACAAATTTTTGTTAATTTTTATTAAATTTTAAGTTTTAAAAGATTCCAAAATTAATTTTCTTTGCAAACTTTTTTATATATTTTTTTATTTTGTCAATTTTTGTTTCTGACACGAATAATATTTTAAGACCTTAAGTAAATATTTATTTAGATTATTAATTTTATAAAATATGCTTCAAAAAATCAGATTTCTAAAATTAAATAAAAAATTAACATATAAATCGAATATAAAATTAAATTATTTATTTTTATTTTATTTATTTTTTATTTTGATTTTATTTATGTTTTATTTTTATTTTATTTGTTTTTATTATTAAAAATATAATAGCAATGATAGTAACAAAGACAAAAAATTTGAACGATAATTCTAGTAATAATAGCACTAAAATTATATTAATATAATAATATTAGTAGAAATAATAAAGTTATAGAAAATATTTATTTGTTTATTATTTATATTTATTTGTTTTATAAATTTTATGTTCCACAGTTGATTCGAATTATCGATAAATATCAAATTCTGCGAAATCTATTTATTTAATTTTCGGAATTTCTAATAGCGAACAAGAGTCCCCCCAGTTCCTCCTCAGTTATTTAAAGTAACCGCCCTCTTATGTACACACCCACACACACAGACACATGTAAACACACTCATATGTTCATTGGCCTCTATATGTGTATGTATGATATGTGCCAGTGCCTCGGGTCTCGATATCCTTACTAAATAAACAATATGCGGGCTCGATTGGAGGGCTGCTCTCGGTGTTGCAAGTAGTTTTTATTTCAGCTGCTCGACGTCTACGGCGACGACGATGACGATGACGTTGAATGGTTCGCTCAATTATAATTTTCTCACTCTGTACTTGGTTTCGAGGGCCTTTAATAAATGTAAAAATTTTGTCTTTTATATGTCTCCTATATATACTTTTATGCTCTGCATGCCAATCCAGTGGACATGTTGCAGGGTTGTGTTAGTAGTGGGCGTACTCAGTGCCACTTGCCACGTCGCGTGTCTGGAGCCCTGTATCTGACTCATCGGTTCGGCTTGGCCGGATCGGAACGGGGTTAGGGGGTTTCAATGTCCTTAAGACTTTGCCCTGTCGCCTGGGTTCCTTTTGCCTCGAATACATTGCGCATATTTTGATTTAAAAAAAACAGACGTCGGCCCTTAATGAGCGCCTGGCCAAAGGAGCGCCAAGTAAGCAGGCGCAAGGGGTGTGGCAACTATGTTTAGTATGAATAACGAGTCGAATGTGAATATGAATGTGAATATGAATGGTTATATATCCTAGCGGGCAGACAATATGCATTAAACGCTGGACAGCAGCCAAAACAAAAAGCCTGCATTGTGCGCTCAGCAACAGCTAACATATCGTGCATATACATATATTCATATTCAGATTAATATATATATATATATATATATATATATTTATTAATATATATTTACATGTTGTTATATATACTGTATGAAATTATGTATGCAGGGCAACGCAGTGTGTGTGAAGTTCGTTTTGGGATTTTGGGGTCAGACACTGGAAGAAAAACTATAGTTTCTTATTCATATGTGAGCGATAAGAGTTACATTTAACATTTTGTACTTAATCTTTTGAAGTTTTGAAATACAATGTGAATTGTAAAGTTATGTTCACTTTAATTAAATAATTATTTAACAAGAAAATGAGTTATAAAATAAGGAAAGACTTCCATTCGGATATAACGCCTTTATTTATTGCACTAAACAAATAGAATGACTGAGTAAATTAAATATATTTAAGGTAAATATTTTGACATTTTTGTAATTCGCTTCAAATTTCGTATTTAAATTCAGATTTGTGTTTTATAGTTTGAGAGTTTGGGTAAAAAAAATAAATAATAAATATTTAAGTTTTAGTTAGTTTTTCAGTTTTACTATTTATAAAAAAGAATTTTTTGTATTTTATATTTTATAAAAATTCTTCAATGCAATATCAGATCTAGGAGAAATTAATAGAGTTACAATGAGCTCGCTCGATAGTTTTGTGTCTTAGTCCAAATATGTGAAATCGGTTCAGTAAATTATGTTAACTGCTTTGATTCTTTATAATCAATTTAACTAACTAAGATTTCATTTTTTCGCGCAGTGAACTGCACTGCTGGGCAGCCCATCTGCAGAGAGTCGGGCAGCCTTATCTTGATGTTGGTTCACTTGGAAAATGCATAGCCCCAGATCTGAATACACATTCAGACATATAAATAAATGTATATATATATATATAAATATATATATATATATATGTATGTGTGTGTGTGTGTGTGTGTGTGCATGCTACTGTGCGCTGCATGTGTTGTTTTTGTTTTCAGTTGTTATAGTTATTGTCGCTTGTTGTTGTTGTCGTCTGCTGAGTTTGTTGTGTTTGTTGTTGTTGCTGCTGCTGCTGCCGTTGCTGACCTCCGGCGCACGCATTTCATGTTCTACTATTTGTGTGCACACGCAGTGTGTTGGGAATTCGTATTTGTCTACCCGTTATTCTGCCTGCACATTCATAATGGTTAATAATGCATAAAGCTCTGCCTGCAATTGCAATTGGTTTCGTTATAAACTGTTTTGGGCCTAGGTTTATAGCATCGTTTTCAGTTAATAAATTGAACAATTCTCAGTAGATCAGTTCAGCTGTTCATTAATTAATTGGATACGTTAATTATTGCATGAAAAGAGCTTTATTTAAAACAGGCTTGAAATCAAGTTCCTATTTGTAATGTAAAAATCAATACTTATACATTTCTAATTTCGATTATAACAGAGTAATGGTTCTTCTTCTTCCCTTTCTCGTGCAAGATGAAATTCCAAAAAAAATCTTATAAAAATGAATATTTAATTTTTTTGTCTCAATATTAATTTCACCACGGTTAGTCATGTTTTTGGAAGTCTTATGAATGAGAATTGGGTTTTACCCACACGTTAAACACTTTCCAGTTATTGCGTTTATCGTAAAAAATCTTCCAGAATTTTTTATTTGAACTCGACTTAAACAAGTGTTGAGGGCCCACACAGCATCAGTTGATAAATTGTGAGCAATTGAATAATGTAAATTGAACGGAAATATTTTATTGTAATTTATAATTGCATTAAAACACCAACGGGATTTAAAAGTATTAAGCAAAAATATGTGTATATCATGACAGACAGAAACTGTGAATCAGCCTGACTTATTTGTATCTCAGCTGAACTTAACTCGACGCGACTTTCAATCGTCGTCACTTAATTAATTGCCTCACATTTAATCTGTTGCAAGCTCTACCCCTTACTTAATTGATACCACTCCCTCTCTCTCTGTCATACGCTCTCTCCCGCTGCGCCTCTCCTCTTTCTTTCCTTTTGTTTATCGTTTTATGGAGCTGACCATAAAATAATTATATGATCTGGGGGTTCTTCAGCGATTGTTCGCTTAGTGCATTCAACTGCGGCTCAAAAAAAGAAAGACAATTGTCGTAAGCCTATTAAGCGGGGCTTAAATAATTATGATTGTTTTTTATTTCAATTTGTTTTTATTTCTTGTTTCTGCTTAAATGAAATGTTGGAAATGCTGAAAATGCTTTAAGTGTGCCATAAAAGAAGCGTAAACAGTGGCCGAGAATCGGACTACCAGGAAGC